CTTTATCAACCTCATTCAACAGCTACATGCTATCCTATATATGAGGCTACATGCCAAGTGATTTACAACGGAAAGTTCAGTGTACCACTGAAGTAAGAGTAAGACAAGGCTGCCGCCTACTATCACCCATAATCTTCCTGATTGTGGTTTGCTGGACTGGACTGGATTATGCATGAAACTGTGAGGGGCGAGAAGATAGATATACGCTAGCTGGAACGATGGAAAGACCTCCGAGGAAGACTTGGGTTTCGCCGGTAATGATCTGTCTAATGTCGCAGAAACCCGGAGATCTATAGGCGAAAACTAACAAGTTGGCAGAGGAGGCGAGGCGACGCAATGCGACGCGACGCGAGGCAGCAAAGGAAGTCGGGACTTCCTTCAGGTGAAAGTAGAGAAGCCAGAGGTGATGAAGATACCCAACCAATAACCAACAACAACAAGCACCATCAACGGGAGAAACATAAAGGAAGTTGTCTCCTTCACCTACCTAGGCAGCATCGTCATAGCTACTACATGCCGCACAGATGAGGATATCAAAGTCAGGATCAAAAAGACGGCAAGACAGGCCTTCATTAATCTGAAATCAGTGTGGAGGTCTACTGTACAGCACTCAGTATAAAGCGTGAACAACATCCGGATTTTAAAGACTAATGTCAGTCAAGCCAGTGCTTCTATGTGATGGTTGGGAGGCTTTACGCGTTACGAAGAAGATTTCCAATAAACTGCAGACATACGTGAACGGCTGCCGCTTACGCCCGCTCGATACTGAAGATCAGATGGCCAGAATAATAGGAATAAGCTACACGGAACTTTAGCCTGGCAACGAACAAACCAAGAACCCATCGCCCAACAAATATGCAGGAGAAAGTGGAGATGGATTGGATTAGGTGTACACTGAGAAGACGGTTTGGGGACATCATGCATCAGGTCAGGACAAGCCGTCGAGTGAAACCCAAATGGGAAGCGATGAGTTTGGCGTCCAAGGCTGACATGAAGGAGATGGTGTGAGGAAGAAATGAAAGCTTACGGGCAGTGGTGTAGCCAGATTAAGCTGACTTCAGAGAAGAGAGTGAAATGGCAACGTTCTACTGAAGCCCTATGTTCCACTGGGAACCCGAAGGACAAATAATAATTATAGTAGTCGGTCGTCATACAAGCGACACAGTGGTTGTCGGTTCAGATACCGCCGCAGTCCAGATTTTTATTTCACCTTCATGCAACTTTTTGTCGTCAGTGAGAAAAAAAGATATCCATTCAATCATCAAAAGAACAGTGCAAAGCAACGATATTTTATGCTCTTCCTAATATAATTGTAAAGCTTAACTGGTGCAAATAGAGATAACCAGAAGTCTGTATGCACTAACTGGTTAGGAGAAACTTCAAGATATCAGTAGTATGTAAGTAAATCACTGGATAAGAAAGCTTCGAATACACTGTGCAAGAGATCAGGTACAAGCATGCATATCGACTGGCATAAAACTCACAACTAATTCTTCTACAAAACTAAGATAATGAGAGTTAGCTTTGTTAACTGGGTTATATAATCAAACTTTATGACAGCCATCAACTGCAATCTCACAACTCTGTTTTGTTTTTTGCTAAACCTACCACACTGTGAACCAGCGTAAATTAGATCATATAAAATAGTGGAAAAGTGTTTGATAGAACTAGCCTTTACACCAACAAAATGATAGACATAGCTTAAATGCTTCTGAAAAGGAACTCAATGACGATCTTGTGTACCTGGGCATCAAACTAAAGTACTTATCGAGGAAATCATGCTACAAGTATAGCTGTGTCTGACGTCTACAGTTTGCAACCTTCAAAATAAAATACAAAAACAAACTAAAGGCGGTGTGATAGGATCACCATTATCTACTATCGTAGCAGACATATTCATATGGATAGCTCGCAACGGTTACCGCTTGACACATTTAGATCCATTGAGTAATACTGTTTTACTGTGTGACATATCTAACATTTTAAAAAAAGTAAAATGGAATTATAATCTATCACGATGCCAAACTTTTACTACGACACTAATACAGTCTTACAGATGATGACTGAGAAGAGAAACAAAGTGGACAAATTTATAAAGCGATTATGTATGCGAAAAATGATTTCTGATGAAAAGAAACAGGGAATTCATAGAAGTAGTTCCAATGTCTTATACATGTCATCAAAGTGGTAATTCGCAATCCACTGAAACCTACTTCATGAAAACAAAATATGTATTGAAAAAGTGGTTTTCCTTATCGATGAAAATCATGAATGATGACAGAGAAGTAGCCTGTATACAGTTCAAACTTCTAATCTTCTCCTGAGCTTAGTTAATACTAGGTGTTGACAAGAGAAGGTAACTACATCCGTCAACTTACATACTTGTCTTTTGGAATTTTCTCAGTAGACATACACACACACACACAACCATCTACCCTAATCACTTGACATTCACAATAGAAACACCTTTGTATACACATATTAGTCTAAAACAAAAGAATTTAATCTTAACCCATGGTTAGTATTTATGTATGTATCACTATAACTGTAATGCATTTTGATCAATAATAAAGATGACAGAATAAGATATTATTATTATGATCATTTTAGGTTGGAATTCATCATGGACTGACATTAGTTAGCTGCCAGTCACCATCAAGAGCACATCAACACTAAGAAAGAGTTATATAGACTAATATACCTCCAATTCATCTTTGTGACTAGCAGTGAAATCTAGGACGCATGTCTCATCCTATTTGGGACTCGTCATCCGGATGTACTTGCACCCAGTGAGTGAATATTGTTCCCACTGAGACTCGAACCTAATACCCATTGCTTCAAATGCAAAAGCGCTATCCACTAGGCCACTGGGCCAGAGGTCAAGTAGTTCGACCCTGTATAGTAACGGGAAATTACATCTATCAAAACAATTGATATCGGTTGCACATGAGGTGGCTATCGTGCTCCAGTGGCCTAGTGGATAACACTATGGCCTTCGAAGCAATGAGTAGTGGGCTCCAGTCACAGTGGAAACATCACTCACTGGGATGTATATACATCTGGCTGACGAGTCCCAAACAGGACGAAAAGTGTGTCCTGGATTCCACTGCTAGCCACAACCAAGTCAATTATAGCAATACTTATTCAAGAAATGTCGAGGCATTTGCATAAATTTTGTAGATGTGATTCAGTGGTTCAGATAGTCAACAAAATAAGCATTTTGTCATAGATGCAAAAATATTCCACTTAGTTCGACCTAAAGACTGCCAAAATTCTCTTTTCAATATTTGTATTTCGTAGCATACCAAATAAATGTGTGGTTAAGGTTATAGGGTTATGCTAGATTTATATTTCACATAAAAAGATGGATAGTACTGCCATGAAGAACTCAAACGTAGGCTTGTTAAGACTAATCAAGTGAATGGATAGAACACAAAAAACTAGTATGAGATTAGCAGACATACATCTCTTTGAGAGCCAAGTATCAATAATACGCTCGTTTATAAGCCGAAATAACTCTTTATCTCACATGAAGTAATACAAAAAGAAAGTTAACAGGAAAAGTTCACTGAATCCTATGTTTTGAGTTGTGGCTCAGTGGTTTAGGGAGATGACTATCAACCGATGGGCTACGGGTTAGAACCCCACTCCACCTACCGAGGTTTTGGCAACTAGGTAGTATATCATTGAGCCTCACACAATGGGTGTGATTCACTGCTTAGCGCACGAATGTACTGAGCTCTCTCTCTCTTTCTCTGATATAATTTGAGCTAGTAGCGAAATCTAAGTATTTAGTTTATACCTTCAGAAAATCAGTTTAGACACACACAAAAATAGATAAGGCTCATTAAAGAACAACACTGAACCCTTATTTGAGAAAATGATTACCTGAAATAAAGTCAGTGATGACACTATTTTCATCAATGCCATGTGGAATACAATCAACACTATGCATTTTCAGTCTATTGTTGTTGATTTTTCTAGTGGTCTGTAAATTCAATAGCACTCAAATCTTTATTTTTATTTACCTGTGAGTAGCCTGAAAATGGAACCTTTAGATATCTTGCGTGAAAATATCACAAGGCTTCAATTCACACACTCACACACACACACACGCAGCTGAGCTAATTTTGAATCGGGAAGATTTCCGGTCGGTATTCAACACGGACTGACTTCAGTCGGAGAAAAAATGGAAACGTGAGAGCACTGGATAGCTGTTTGTCCTAGTACGGGACTCCTCAACAGTGCGTGCCCACAACTCTATCTCCCAAGGGGTCAAACCCAGAACCTTTAGGTTCCACGACCAGCACGTCACTATCGGGCCACTGGATCGAAACCAATCATCCGAATTTCCTACTTTTGTCATTTCATGATACAGCGTGACCTCCATCCAATGCCGTCGTTGAGTAACTGTCCCCACGTTCAACTTGGTTGGCTCCAGTGGTCACTTCTCATTAGAACCTAAGTAATCTCATCTCGAAGCAAGTTACAGATGAGCACTAGAGAGTAATTTAATTTAGAGGTTTGTGAAGACTTATTTATTGACTTCAGGTTGGTACTGATCACGTAATGACATCAATTTGAACCTGAAGGTCCTGAGTTCGACTCTTGGAGGAGTCATGGATGTGCAATGCTAGGGAGTCCTATACTAGGACAAAACAGCTGTCCAGTGCTCTCAAGTTTCAAATGTTTCTCCAATTGGTGTCAGTTCATGATGAACACTAACCTGAAATCAATGAATAAATCTCTACAAACCTCCAAATGGAAAGATTCCCATTTGAAATAGTCTTAAAATTGATTCCGGGTAGGGTTGCTAGCCCTATGCCCAACCTTCCGTGTTTATCCGGGCTTAGGACCGGCTAGTAACTAGTGAACTAGTTAACTAGGCGAGATTTGAAAATAAACCTATTTAACCAAAATTTCTAGGCATATTTCATGAGAAAGAGTAAATAATAACTTTCACGCTGATAGAGAAACTTGAAGAGAAAACTTTTTATTACCTGATCTTTTAGTTTATTTTGATCATTATGAGTGACTATCACTTCTGATTGCTTCTTTAAAAGATTATTCAATTCTGTTTTAACTTTATTCAACTCTGTTTCCATGAGTTCATTTGCTTCACGAGCTGACATTAAGGCTTCTTCTAATTCAAATATTTTTGATTCATCATCTGCATTCTGTGATTCTAATGTGGTCTTGTCAATATTCTCTTCTTCCATTCTAAATTGTAAATCTTCAAGATTTCTGTTACACATTTATTAAGGAGAAAATGAAAATAAGATTAAATAATTTAATCACTTAATAAAGGTTAAAAAGTCAGTGCTTCATTATATAATCTAATGTTTTGACAATAACTATTTCATGATAAGAGTAATACAGATCAATATTTAAAAAAAAATTAAGCATTAGATCTTCTGATAAATAACTTGAAATAAACACTGAGCTCAGTTATTGCAACATTTTCAAAAGGATATGTATGCTAACCTTATCTAGGTTTACGAATTCAGTTTTAAACTACGGCTTTCATTTGAATATGTTTTGTAAGTCGGATAGGTGTAGATTAGCACTTGAGTTAGGGTATCTGATTCAGTAGTCAAGTTGTGGAAAGACTATTTGTATCACTAGCTTTACAAAGCATATTTGAACCATAATATAGAATAGAAATATATGTGGCTAACGAGGAATAAATTATTACACCTCTTAGACTGGTGATTCACGTTTGGTTGGATCACCAAGTGAGCAATGCTGAGGTTGGACAAAGGGTATAAAACAAGACAAGCAAGTTGATTGATGAGTTCATGAAGCTTAGTCGACTGTATTGGCTTGAATATGTACTGCGAATCCCGAGGCATCGCCTACCTTGATATACCATGCTAGGAGAAGTTCGATTAAGTTGGCAGAGGTTTCAAGGTGGCCAGATTAAAACACGGCAATAATTCAAGAAGTCTCTGACTGTTGGTCTGAGCCCTGTGGAGGCGTAGACTGCTTGGCTGTCCAAACCTTGGTAGGTACAAAGCATTCAAAGGATTAATGTATTCAATATCTTTTCTATATGTGCCATAAATTGACTAGTGCAAAGACAAATTTAAGAAAATAGTACGCTAAGTAACTTAAAAAGCCAACGGATGGAACAGAAACAACTATTGAATTTGGGGGTTTGTGGGGATTTAGGGATTTTTTTTCAAGTTGGTATTCATCGTGGATTGACATCAGTTGGAGGAGCACTAGACAGCTGTTTCGTTCTAGTATGTGACTCCTCAGCAGTGCGCACCCACGACCCGGTCAGGGATCGAACCCGAGAACTCCAGGTCCCGTGGTCAGCACGGGATCCCCAAATCCAATTAAACTAGTGTTCATTGGTTACTAGCTTCAAGAGATGATTCCCAAAGTTCAAATTAGGAGACGTGACCGGTGGGGCAAACCTGATGGACGTGAAGACAAATACTCAACGATGACATTGGGTGGCGGTTGCGCTATGTCGTGAAGTGACAGAAGTTGAAAATACAGACCATTGGATTCCGACCCAGTGGCTCAATAGTAACGTGCTGGCCACGGGACCTAAAGGTCATGGGTGCGATCCCTGGAGGGGTCGTGGGTGCGCACTACTGAGAAGTCACATACTAGAACGAAACAGCTGTTTAGTGCTCCTAGGTTTTCAATGTTCCTCCAACTGATATCAGTCCATGATGAATACCAACTTGAGGAACTAACTTTGCTGAAAAGAAAAAAGACCTTTGTTACACAGGAAACAAAGTATAAATGATAGGAAATTCATAGGAATTTGCAATTTCAATCGAAACAACCAAGGTCTCAAAGAAGAGGTTACAGTGTACCGTCATATTTGAGGATGAAAGTACACACCAAACTATTACAATACAGTAGTTGAACAACAATGCAAAGAAATACAATTTATTGTTAGGTCAGAGACAACAGGTTATTTATGCATTATATATAGGCATTAAATACAATACAATATATCGAGGTCAAAATTTACAATAAATAAAACTTGTTTGTTGAGTAAAAAATGCAAATCATTTTAGAAAAGAAACAAAATACAAATAGAACACACAACAATTGATACAAATTATAACAATGAGAATGAAAGAGTGTAGTGTGAACGAACAAATGCAATACATACAGTCAATATTAAAATTAGAATTTATACAGTTGTTATTAACACCTAAATACAAAGAAACATTTAGCAATAAACCAGTGCAGCATACACCCATTTTGATTGTATGCATTTGCATTCGATTAAGTATCTTAATACTTTAATGATCCATGTGATAGGAATGACGATGTGTGTACTCTTTTTCTCTCCTTCTATCTCTTGATTAACTACAACATGTAAACCGAGTTTAAACTAGGTCTGGAACAGATACTAACACCCATTAAATAAGACAGTTTTCCTTTGAAGGGCATACTTTCGGAATATATGCCATGAACTGCTATAGGAGCTTAGTGAATAGTGTTTTATTCAAACAACTGATAAGTAACATAAAGCAATTAACACGCAAATTAGCTGCCTATAAAAATGTATATTATACAAAACCGCGGTTCCTTGAGTGTTTGGTGATTACGACAGTTAAGATGATCCCCTACCCACAGGGAAACCAAGTCAACCGAATCTCCCGATTCTCAAGGTGAGTTCTAAAGACTCACTACACTGTTAAGGTGAGGTCAACTAAATAACCACACTCGGGTGCTGTATACATGGCTCAGAGACAACATATCTCCATGGCTAGAGAACCTAGAGTTTTGGCGAGCGATGTTGAGTGTCAGATTCGGCATAGATTTCAGACGTTGAAAGCACTTACATGAAATCTATGGCTCTGATCGTTGGTACTCGTTGCAAAGCGAGAGGTTGGGTAAGGCGTAAGAGGCTTCATATTAGTATCAGGAGGAGAAAGAGTTGAGGAGGATAGGTTGTTTGATAACGTCTTGTGTGTGACAGCGAAGCCCACGGGATATCTACTTGAGGCCAGCCACATTCGGCCTTTGGAAGGTCGAGATTTAGTTTTTTGTTTTCGAATCCGACTATGAAAGCCTGTTACATGCATCGGCATGCCGCAGGGTGATGGGAGTGTGCTATTTTTGGGGCCAAGCTTTTCCAACTCCTCATTCTCATCGAGAAGGCAGCATCAGTGTGGGACTGCTGGTCATCTAGGGAAATATTTTACTGCTGTCACACCCTATCCAGCTAGCAGCAGTACGACCTCGCCCCCAGACCCCTACGTAGTGTTGGAATTTACACTACAACGGAAACTGTTTTTCGTCTTACCACTATCAGACAGACCTTTTTGGTATAGTAGGACCGTGAGGAAACGAGCGTTCCAGCCAGCGTAGCTCGCCGGTTCATTTGGATTTACAAGCCCGACCATCATATCAAGGTAGGAGCCATTGGTCAAGAGACAAGGGCTAGTACGTTACCGTCTTCCATTTACAGCAAACTAACAGAAACAGAAAAGTGCTGACACTTAGACTACAATGGTGAATTACTGACTTGCTCACTAAGAGACCTAACAGTCCTGAGTTGAGGATTCTGAAACTTAAACGGAAGAGCTGTTCAGTGTTCTTATGTTTTCAGCATTTCTCAAACTGATGTCGATTCGCAATGAAGATTGCCTTGATACTAATCGACTCTCCCTATGCAAATCAATAACGTATCAAGCTACTTTCTTTTAAAATAAACTATACTGAAGAAATAAATACACTCCTGGTAAAGTTAGATATCAAGAAAAAAGTTTATCTGTTGCTTCCATCGATGTTCCAATGGGTTAGCACGCTGTGCCTAATAGAGTGACTTTCATTTTTCTAAACTTTTGTTTTTACGTTAAACAAGTACGAATCAAAATACTCAAAAAGTCAGTTGGGTGTAGCAATATCCAATATTCGGTGATCCCTAAAAGAAACTGTGGTCAGTAGCAATAAGGGAGTGTAAAAGAAACTGGAATATGAAGCATAATCATGTACAGTAGATTCGAAATAATACTGACAGACATATGGCTGAACACTCTAATATAAACAAGCGAAAAGTTATGTAAATATCATTTATTATTTCTTACTTTCTTTCTTCCTGAAGTTTAATTGTTGTCTGTTCATGTTCATCACGTAAATGCTGCAGAACTGCTTCCATATTTTCTAACCGTTGATTCAAATTTTGTATAACAGCTCTCTGATTCACTGTTTCAGCTTGAGCCTTTAAACAACAACAAAAAAGAATCATTTTACGCTTAAAAACAACTGAAACCAATTATAATCAGGTTATTTTATCAACTGTTGAATTAGTATTAGTTTTTCTAAAGGATTAACTGCTTGAAACAACCAATTTATAAGGTAAAAGTGATGACTTATATGACAGACGGCAGTTGAAGAATGCTGAAAGAACACAAAACGGTACGATACTACTGCAATATAAAGGTATTTACATTGAAACTCGGACACATGATTCATTATTTTAAACTCCGGGATTTTATCCAACTGATACCAAAGGACTAAGTACTTGATTCAAGTCTCCGTGGGAATGACGTCACTCACTTGGGTGCAGGCACATCTAGCTAACGAGTCCAAAATAGGACGAAACGTGTGCCCTGGTTTTTACTGCTATCACTGCTACCAAAAGACAATAATCTAGACACATCCACAAGGACATAAATCATAAAAGATAAGTCAGTTCAACCCTATGAATTAAATAGCAGAAACTGTGTAACTGAGGAGAATATTTGATCAATCTCCGTGTACACAAAAGCTTTATCATCTCAGCTTACTACTCAAAATTTACTCTATAGTCGATATACATTGATACAAATCAACTATAAACACTAAATGGAAAGTATAACAAGAAAAATGTTCTATCCTCTGAATTACAATCTGATTGCTCAAGTACAATATGTTTAACTCAACAGCTGGTAGTTGAATACTTAAAACAGTGAGCTGAATATTCATAATAACAAGTTCAGATAAAATAAGAATGTGACTATAAACGTAAATTCTCGTTCAATAAACGAACTCGAAAAAAACAAACAGGATATGCTGTGACCAACAGCCAGGTATAGATCAAAGTGTATCTAGTTATGAACACGATGAAGGGATATTAAAGAATATGTTATACCCTAGACTTCTTCCAAAATAAACAATCAGACCGAATTAATTTCCGGTGTAAATTAATGATATTCTTTGAAATGTATTTCTTGAAGTTCTAATGAAAAGTCATAACCTGTAGGATCAATCAGGTCAGATGGTATTGGATACCATTCGCACCATATCGTGAGTTGACAGAAGTAGGAAACTGTGGACGAATGGATAATGCTCACCGTGAGAATTAACGGTTCTGTGTTTGATCTTTGATGTGGCTACAGGTGTGTACCCCTGGGGAGTTCCAGGCTGGGATAAAGCATCTATATTGACCACTACTGATGCATATGCTTGAAGTTGTTGACACCAACACCTCCCAGCATGACTAGGAAAAGGTCAACCCAGATCAATGAACAGATTCATATCATACAACACTTGGTTGACAGAGGGCACAGTTGAGGAAGATTCGCTAAAAATGCAATTTCTAAAAAATAAATCATCTCGAATTTCTTTTTGGGAACAAAAATAACCATATCGTAAGATTATGAAATATTTCCAATCGTTATAGCACAAATACTAAAGTCACTAACAGCAGATATCTTCACATCATTCGAAAGAGTTAACTGTGCATTTTTCAAAGAATTGATTTCAGCTGATAGGAAATTAGTAGAACAGTATAATAAAGCTCTGAATTTAATTGCTTCTCAGTGAATCACACGGATAGGATCAGAATGCAACATTCGTGCGGTAGGCAATGAGACATAACTATTGTATGAGGGGTAATGATACAACCTGGGTGCCCAAAGTTTTGTAGGTGGAGCGGGGCTTGAACCCATTGGATGAAAGTCATCTCCCTAAAGCAATGAGCCATCTCTGTTGCATAAGCATAAACTTTATCCAGTCAACAGACTCATTAAATATAACCACACACACACCTCTGCGCACTTTACCGCTAACCTAGCTGATTAGTGATACCACTCAAAGGTAACTGGACTACGAAATCAAGTGTCTCGCGTGTTATTCATACCACTAATGGGTTGGTTGTAAATTTTTGCTACCAATTATTAAAAAGACATGCAAATATCATTGAACAGATACACGTATACACTACAGCAAACATATCTTCACTACTTAACCAAATCTATTCATCACCTGATCATCCAATTCACTCCAACTTTTGATGTCTATGACGTTATAAAACTCAAGAAACTGAATTCATAGGCAAAACAGTAAAACTACATCAAAGACTCATACTTCATATGATGCTTACTTTTAATCTATGAGTAAGTGATATCAAGGAAATTGATCGATGTTAAAAACACAACTGTAAAGTATGCGCAGTTGTAAAATCTTAAAGATAATGAATTCATGTTTTGAAAGAGTTTAGTGAAAGATTAAAACAAGAGACTAGTGTCTATAGGAAGCCTTCCCATTCCAATCGCTATTTACACTTCAAATCATACCATCCCATCCCATTTCCCTTAAAGTGGGCTTTCTTAAATGTCTAAGCGATATGCTGAAAAATATTACTAGTAAGACAGAAAATCTACGACAAGAAATTAAACACATCAAGAACACCTTGCGTCTAAATAACTAACCAACTAAATTTATAAATAAATTCATAAGAAATGGGGAGAAAAATATTAACAGTAGTACTAGTAGCAGCAGCAGCAGTAACACAGGCGTCATTAATAACATTTCTTCCAATAAGAGTAATAATAGTAACACGGTTGAGAGAGAATTCAATGCCTTTCCTGTGTTATCATACAAGGAAGTCATCTCAGAAGCATTATGAAGAATTCTCCATAAGACTGACTGGGATTCAAATGGCATTTAAACCAACAAATTCCCTCACAAACAAGCTTTGTAGGTTAGAAGATCCCATCAATGCAGTTAAGCAAAATAATTTAGTTTACCAAATCCATCTCAACGACCACCAGGTCAAATACACAGATTGAAGTAGTCGACTAGCCAGGGTCGATTACAATAACACAATACAAATGCAGCTCAGCTAAATCAACATTAGTAGATCCTAAGAGAATAATAAATTTACAAAAAAGCTCCGCGATAGCTCTGCATGCAATTATACACAATCACACAGTAGGCTGGAATAGGATAGACCGACAGTATCAAAAACTAACTTAGTTGAGTTCAGGGAGAGATTGATAACCAAATCTCTGTTTATCGAATCAACAGTGAATACATGCAGAAGTAGAAATGATTCTGCACCTATCCCTTGTCATCATAAAGAAGGAGAGAAAATTAGGACTATATAAACTCTGTCTCGAAGTTGTGGAGTAAACTGCTGATATGAATATGGACAGTAAATTGTGCATGAAACGTTACCCAGTAAATGATACTGTTTCACTATGTGACATTTCTAATAAACAGACTAATATGGGATTACAATCTACCATGGTGTCCAAGTTTTACCTCTATATTAATATACTTTACTCTGCTTACACTATGTATCTTCTGTTGAAATGTTTGAAGTAAAGTATTTCTATACAATTTTTCTCGGCATTCATATTTTATCTAATGTGCTAATATGAACAGTCGTACGGCATACTTTTTAATTCCATCGGAATTGTGTTAATATCATGCATAGTTGGAATTAAAATTATTTCGATATAAAGGAAGTGTTAATAAGTAATATACTGTTGAAGATTACTATATTAACTAACTGTCCAGATCAAAAAGTATACACTTAAAGAAGGGTATACTCTGGAAGGAATTAAACTGAAAACTTCAGGCAAATATAAAGAAAATGAAAGTAGAATATGCTAACGTAGACCCTCGTGGAAGATGAAAATATAGGTAAACTTTATCAGCAACTTCAACCGACAAGCTCATTGTTATGAAGTGAATACACTAGGATAACAAGATGTGTATATACCTCGCTTTCCCTAACACTCTCTCATCTAATAAAAATATATAAGAAAGAGGAAATCAATCAACTATACATACCATTTCTTTTTCCAAAGTAACCTTAGCTAAATCGGAACGTTCAATTTCACGCTCTTGTAAAAGTTGTTCAATATGTGCTTCTTTTTCTTTAATTAAACGCTATCAATAAAAAAATTAAAAATAAATATTTAAGAAACATGAAAAAAATGAACCTCTGGGTTAAATCAAGAAAAACATTCTCGCGACATATCGACAATAAACAATAGTGACAGAGATCAAACCTTACTTTCGTGCCCATGCAATGTCACTTATTTTTACCGCAGTTTAGAATGCTAAACCCTGATTGGTTCATTTTACACCTTTGTTTTCTTTGGCCAAGGTTATCTAAGGGTATATAAATGACTGAATTTTCAGCTATACGGACCTTTTGGTTGAAGTAAATGTACTTTCAGTTCCACTATCGTCTTCTAGTGTCATCTGAATATCATGAAGTCACTGTTCTATCGTTAATCGTATCGCATCGAAGCATTATATCGTTATATATACCCTTAGACCATAACACAGACAACTTGCACACTTTGTGTTGAGCTAAAATGCCCACGGTGCATAAAATTAAAAAAAACCAGCACACAACTTAGTTTCCAGAACATTTTCTAAGTGATACTAGTATATACGAAAACGTACAAAGCGTCAACTTAAATAATGGCAAATACGTGATAAATAGTAACTAACAAGGAAGAACATTTATTATTGCCGCGAATTACATCTGTGAATCTAGCATTAATGATGGATAGTGGATAGCAGTGGAATTAGGGAAGCGCGTTTCGCCCTGTTTGGGACTCGTTAGCAGGATGCACCTACCTCCCAGTGAGCAATGTTGTTCCCACTAATACTCGATGGCTTCAAACTCCAGAGCGTTAGCCACTAGACCACCCAGTCTTGGCAGCTACTTGTTGTGCGATAGGTATAGTTTTTATGTTGTTGCTTCCATTATTCTGTCGTTGATTGAACTGAATTGATCAGTCTATATAGGTTCTTGAGCGAATGACTCAATATCGCCTGTTTCAGCTTTGTGTCACTGATGGATAGTAGCGTCCTGGATTCCATTTTTAGCCACTACCAAACCTAAATTACCAGTGGTACTGGTGCATCCCCTTAGTAGCGCTCATGCAAACCAATAGTGCACGGTCAATTGGGTCCAGTCTACGATGGGAAACCGAAAGTTATAACCTCAAGGTATATCCATCGCATGAGGACTAGGCTATAGTGACTCAGTATCATTGAGCACAACGCTCTGGTGTCTGAAGCGATGAGTGTTGGACGCAAGTCTCGATGGGAACACCACCGCTCACTGGAAGATAGGTGCATTCACCTGATGAGTCCCTAACACGACAAGATGTGTGACCTGGATCCCACTGCTGGCCACAATCCATCATAACGTCCGCCAGCTCTGCCCGACTGGTCACTTCAGGAATCACCTCATGAAGCTAGTCATAAATGAGCACTAGATTAATTCAATTTAGGGTTTTGTGGGGGTTTATTGATTTCAAGTTGGTATTCATCATGGAGGGGTCATGAGTAAGCACTGTCGAGGAGTCCTATACTAGGACGAAATAGCTGTACAGTGGCTCCTGGGTTTCCAATGTTTCTCCAACTGATGTCAGTTCACGACGATTACCAACTTGAAATCAATAAATACCCACAAACCCTCAAAATGAATGTCATATTTGTCCTCCTCTCATTTCCAGTCTTCAAATAAAATGGGTTAACAAATTATTATTTGTTCAGATTGTTTGAAATAGATGATGCAACTGCATCACATTTTTTAGATGAACCAAGCCTTCTAATTACGTTATGAAAATTTCTAAATAGGAGCTAAATGTTTCGAATTGATGTAACTGAACTGTTTACAAGTTTACGGACATGGTTATGAGCCGCAGTGATTATGTAAAGACTTCATGATACTACCCGGTTGGTTGGTCAAATCGAAATAGGTAGAACAGGGTGTAGACCCGAAACCTGCTGCTTCGAGATTAAATAATTAAGCCAAAGAACAGAGAGGCAGTAATATCAACGAAGAAGCTCTCATCCCTTCAAATTCCATACTTCACAGTATCATAAGAAGAACAGGTGGATGGGGAAAAAATGAGACAAAAGCAAACAAAATTGTATGGGATGAGACAGGAGAAATAAACAAAAATTGGTGAAAATGTTCAAAACTTCGATTATATGAATATATCTGTGCTGTTGTGACCCATTTTCAGCCACTTTATCAGGAATCTCAAATCATTGATTCCTATAATCTCGACAACCCAGGGTCAGTCAGTCAACATTTCACTACACGGTTAACACTAACAGTCACAGACTTCGTCAGCTGGTGCCATCTGTGCGTTTGGTCACAACCAGCCTTCTTCAGACTTAATCCTACTTCGGGTAACATCGCATCCCGAGGTAAGCGGTAACTCGGTATGCGCAACACATATACTGGCAACATAAGTCGTTCAAGGTTCAAAACTCATTCACTGACTTTTCTTCCCTAGCTAATACTTTCTGCCCAACTTCAAAATTGCTCACACAGTGATTCTAACACATGTGAGTAATGCAACGGTCGGACTGCGGTGTCTGAGATGGAAAAATTTAGATTGGAACTTTTAAAACTCATACAGTAATATGAGAGGTGCTCGTCTGTATCCGAGCTGAGGTTTCATCAACAACCCATTCGGGCTCATACAATATAAGTGAAATGGTCAATGCATTCAACCACTTCACTCCTTTCCCTTAAATTGGGAGTAGCTCCGAAAAGCATGACAAAAATATGCTTAGACTTCTGCTCAAGTATTCAGAAGATTCTGCCTTTTGTCACTGTGTTCGCCTAACAGGACAATATCTTCTACGTGTTCACTGTCAACCAGGTGCCATCCTTGGAGTAATTCAATTCCTGTAAAAACAGAAGTTCCTAAGATCATGTCCTTTTGGCAAAATTGAGCAAGAACGATGACAGTGGGTACCTCTGACAGAAATTAATAGCTACTATCACTTTAGATTACAACTTCGTATTAACCCTTACAAAGCTGAGTGAGTTTGAATAGACAGCCTTGATATTACTACTACACTCTTTCCGGATATTCCCGTCATAGTTAGGTATTGCCACAACACCTCTACGTCAATAGGGTTTAAAACCATCCTCAGGTCAAGAAACATGGTGTGTTTGCTTACGTCAAAGAAATACATTTCCACGGGTCCACCTTTCTACATAACAGCAAGAAGCACTGTATTTCTTTTTAAAATGTACACAGCGTATGAACTTTACAAAATTTCTTCAAGAATACGATTAGTGAAGTAGAGAAAAGTTTCACTCCTTTGAGAAGAAAGTGTACTGAATTCTCAGGCAAAATAGGTTTTCAATAAATATGAACTATAATAGTTCATCAACCTTTCAAAACAATGATACTTCACATGTATTCTACATTGTAGTGTGATGAAACATGTCAAACTTCTTTTCCAATAAAAATGATTCTGACATCCCATAAGTGTATGTTATGAGCATAATTTGTATGTGATCTTTGAAAGAATGCATGTGAGGACTGATGAAATTGTCTATTGAGAAATTAAGTCTAGGTAAAATATGAAAATCTTATATTAAATATGTTTCATGCAAAGTAGTATCTACATTCTATATTCGAGATAACTTGGTTCTTAGTTTCCGTCGCTTCTTTGCTTGCCTTCCATATTTCTTACCTATCTTCTTCGGTTCCTTCTTCAGAACTTCTATTAAGTGGATGATAACTCCATTTACTTTTCACAGGAAAGTCACCTACGCACTACTTACACGTGTTCACAGTACAAAAAGATCAGACACAATATACAGTAAATCCTGCACTCGGATTTCGTACTATTTACCACTCATCAGTATGGGATATCTACAGAGCTTTGTGAGTCACAATTTACGTCACCCAGCGTCGGACACAGACATGTTAACGCTTGGTTACTTGTACTGCGACCGATCTTCAGCGATAATAAAGTTTATAACACATGAAAACTGACCATATCACACAAAAATCGATGCAAGGTTAAACTTCTATACACTTGTTGAATCAGGCTCATAAACTTCATTGTATTTGACAATATGGCTTGTTTCTTGATAAGCTCATGATTGCGCACAGCAGGGTAAACATCAGAGCAAAACAAATTACGTATCCAATACTTCATCATTCTCGATCTTTATTTGATGAATAAAGATGTGTCAACTCGAAGACTCCAGACAGGCAATCAACATCTTCTCACACAGCTCAGACCAACAGTCACAGACTTAATGTACTGGTGTCATGTCTCAGTCTGGCCACCCTGAACCCTAACCCAGCTTCCCCTACCATGGCACATCAAGGTAGACGTGTTCGACTCTAATACTTATCCCTAATTTACAGACGGCAACTAGGCAGTTTCCTACACCGCTCAGAACAACAACTGGAAACCTTATAGGTTAACGCTTGCAGCTCTCTCTCTAACCATCACTCTTAGCTGAAGGTCAACCCGAAATAATTTAAAGTTGATCTTCATGTTTTTAGATACAACATTGTGAAGCAAAAAACATTAAATCAAAGATGATGACAAGCATAACAACTTACTTGAAGTGTTTGTAAATTGGAAGCGGTTTCTCTACGGCAGGACGTATTGACTGAGGATGTAGGCCTTCGGCTCCCAGTCATACCATTACGTGCCTTAAATTGCGAAAAGATATCACTTTTACTATCACTGTTGTCATCATCTCGAATCAAAAATAGAGATCACTTCATTCATGTAATTCAGCATTAAAATTAATCTCACAGTTTCACAAAAGTGAATCTCATTCGCTACAAAATGTTACAAAGAACTTGCATGCTATCAACGAGCTTATTGGACGCTTAAAAAAGGGGGTTATTGGTTCATACAGGCAAAGTTGTCGATAAAAAGGAAATAAAATAGACTTATCAAGTCGATCAAGAGTTAAGAAAACCTGACTACAGACATAAAAATTCCACTGAATCCAGGTTAGTATGTACACAATTTCTGTAGTGCTGATTTCTATGTCATATTATAGGTAACATATCATAATTTATATTCATCTTGGTGACCATCAGAGGAATCTAGGATGCACGTTTTATCCTATATGGGACTCCTCAGCTGGATGTACCTGCACCTCAGTGAGTGTTGTTCCCACTGAGACCTGAACCCAATACCCATTGCTTCAAACGCTAACGCGTTATCCATTATGCCACTGCGGTACGATAACCACCACTTGTGCAACCAACATCAGTAATGGTACGATACATATAATTTCTGGTTGCTATACAAGACCGAATTGCTCGATCTCTGTCGGCAGAAGGGTTCCTATGCGGATGCCTCGATATTACCAGATATTCAAGATGTTATATTCATCTTGGTGACTAATAGGGATGGATATCCGGCAGCATCCCATAGGAGCCCATCTGTCAACAGAGGTCGAGCGATTCTTCCCTGTATAGCAACAGGAAATTACAAGTATTATAACATATTATACTTTAGTCCTATGGTTTGTGACATCTATAGTAGAGTCAGTGAAATGGATACAGAAGCCTATATTGAAACCTGCCTATTATCACCGATGATCTTCCTGATTGTGGTCAACTGGACTGGACTGGATCATACAACAAACTATGAGGAGCGAGAAGAGGGGCATAAACTGACTGGACCGATGAAAAGACCCTAGAAGATTTGAATTTCGCTAATGATGATTTGTGGTTAATGTCTTGTCGCACAAACTCGAAGGTCTACAGGCGAAAACTAATAAGTTGGAGAAGAGGCAGGACAGGGAAGTGAAGACGGGACTTCCTTTAGGTGGATGTAGAGAAGACGAAGGTGATGAAGATATCCAACCAACAACAGTATCAACAGCTATTTCCAATCACCATCAACGGGAGAAACTTAAAGGAAGTAGTCTCTTTCACCTACCAAGGCAAAGCAGCATCGTTTCAACTACAGCTGGTGGCACAGACGAGGATGTCAAAACCACGATCGGAAAACCAAGACAAGCTTTCATTAATCTGAAATCAGTGTGGAGATCTATTGTACTCACCATTGAGCGTGAACAACATCCGGATTTTCAATACCAATGCCAAGGCAGTGCTGCTATATAGTTCAGAAACTTGACGTGTCACGAAAAGCATTTTCAACAAACTACAGACATTTATCAACACTTGCCACCTACGCTCACTTGGTACTGAAGATCAGATGGCCAGAATAAGAAGAATAAGTAACAAGGAATTCTGGCAACGAACCAGTCAAGGACCTATCACCCAACAAATATACAGAAGAAGAAAGTGGAGATGGATTGGGCATACACTGAGAAGGAGAATTGGGGACATCAGGCACCAGGCCTGGTCGTCGAGTGGAATGCAAAGGGGAAACGACGAGTTGGGCTTCGGAGGCGAGATTGACATAGAGGAGATGATGTGAGGAGGAAATGAAAACTTGTGGGCAGTCGTGGAGCCAGGTTAAGCTGACTGCAGAAAAGAGAGTGAAATGGCGACGTGCTACTGAAGCCCTATGTTCCACTAAGAACGCAAAGGACAAATAATAATAGAGGAAGTTCAAAGGAAATAATTTGTGATTACTAAAACAGAAGTGACCAATCAAAATAATAGAATACAAAAGTATTACGTAAATGTATATGATGGGTTAATAGTGTGTAATAATTAACAAATCAAGACTGCTAAGTTATTAAGATTCACAGAAGCGATTCCCATCAACAGAACTAAACTGAACTTATGCATCCAAAAACAGCCAATTGTTAACCTCCAGCCTCTACGGTAGCCAATGGTTTGTTTTATTATTCAATACTTTGTACTTTCATCCTCTTTTACAACCAGCTTCATAAACAATTCCTCCACAAGTTTATTACTTGGCCGTATATTTACATTATTAACTCATCACATACCCTTACGTAACACGTTCTATTCCATTTTGTAATAAGATAACAGTCTAGCTACAAGAACATAAGATAACTTCGATTTTAGTAATCACAAATTATTCAAGTCGGTATTCATCACGGGCTGATATTAGTTGGAGAAATATTGGAAACCTAAGAGCACTATGCAGCTGTTTCGTTCTAGTATGAGATATGATTAAATGAGAAGTCGTAACTGGTGGGGCAAACCTGGTGGAGGTGAGGACAAATACTCAACGATGATATTGAATGTAGGTCACGCTATCTCGTGATTTGACATAAGTTGGACCATTGGATTCCGACCCAGTGGCTCAATGGTAACGTGCTGGCCACGGGACCTGAAAGTTCTGGGTTCGATTCCCGAGGGTGTGCACTGCTGAGGAATATATATGTGTACAACTTATGATTTTATAGGCAATAAACCGTTTGAAAGGTGACAAAATATAATGGATTGACTGTATTCTGCAAAATTTATTGTTCTAGCTTTGCTAAAATTATTTGTGACCTGTTTATTTTTTAAGCCATTAGTCATTACGTGGATCTAATGCATACTTGCCTTAGAGACGAAATTGATTATGCAAGCAATCGCTTTCTAACTCTATATTCGACTCATTGGTTTTCCCGTAGAACGTTTCGTTGACCTATTAACCAATGACAGACTAGTCTTGGTTGTATTATATTCCCTGAGCTAGGTTGTTTAATCGTGGAGCTGTCATCGTCTTTCTAAAGGACATCTTCAGCACTAACTTTAATATGAAATGAGCTGTCAATATCTCTCCGTGAGTGATTCAGTAGCTTGTCCTGGCGAACTGGTTTGTGATTGGTTGTTTTCTTCTATCGTTGTGCTATGAACAGCACAGATTTTGTTGTTGGCTGTTCCTCTGCTTGATCTTTGACCTCTCTGTTGTTTACCACTTTTCTTATTGGTTGTGACATCTAAATGCCAAGCCTCTAGGAATTCTCTGATATCCTTTGTATTTTCTCTGTCCAAGATTTCTAGGTTGTCAAAATTGAATGCATGTCCATCGTTATCCGCATGCACTGAAATGAGTGATGAAATGTCGTGATGTTTAATAGCCACTCAGGGTTTATGTAAACGAAGGCGAAGATGGGGACCACTTTATCCAATGTAGTGTTGCGGTTGATTTTGTAAATGATATTTGGTTTATCTTCTTTAACTATTGCGCCCTTTGGTTTCCAAAATATGGTTTGAAGAGAATTTGTTGCTTGGCATTCAGATCAGTCAGTAATCAGCAAACCCAATCTATCAACCAATAGAAAAAATGATAAACAACAGAAACGTCAGAGGTAAAGCAGAGGAACAGCCAGCAGGAAAATCTATGCAGTCCATAACACAACAATCGGAAGAAACAACCAATCACAAACCAGTACGTCACATCAAGCCACTGAATCACTCACGGAGAGATATTGACAGCTCACTTCATACTGAATTCAGTGCTGATGATATCGTCTAGCAAGACGATGAAAGCTTCATGACTAAACAACCCAGCTCAGAGAACACAATACAACCAAGAACATCTTCTTCTGAGCTATCAAATGTAGTCGTTCAATTATTTTTCATCACAAAAACAAAAACATACTGAAGCACGAACTTGCCTGTAATCCATTATTATTCTTCTGTGCTTGATAAGATCGTGATACTGAACTTAAGTTGGATGAATAGGACAATAAGGATTCTTGACTACGGCTATAAAATATAGAAAATATGAAGATGTGTAAAATTCCAGGTGAATTACAAACGACCAATGTTTGAAATAATAAAAAAACATTTTTCTTTTCAGAAATCTAATTTAAAATTGACAATTGGAGATAAAATGAAAACCTGATTCATGGAAGGATACAAACTAGAAACCTCAACGCTACCAGTTCAGTGCTCATAGCTCAGTTGGTAGAGTTGTAAACTGACTATCCACATTAGCATAATTGTTTTTATATGATATCGTCGTTGATTGGACCCAATTGATCGATCTCTATTGGCATATGGGGGCTCCTGTGCGGATGCCTCGATATTGTCAGTGTTCTAATTGTTAGTGATGGATCGTGGCTAGCAGTGAAATCCAGGATGCGCATTTCGTCCTATTTGGGACTCGTCAGCTGGATGTACGGTATCAGAAAAAAACAATTATACTAAAAACTATACCCGTCGCACAACAAAGGGCTATCGTGGCTCGGTGGTGCAGTGGATAACGCGCTGGCGTTTGAAGCGGTCGCTCCTGATTCCGAATCCCGGTGGGAATAACATCACTCACTGAGAAGCAGGCACATCCACCTGACGAGTCCTAAATAGGACGAAATGAGCATCCTGGGTTCCATTGCTAGCCACGATCCATAATTGACTATCTTCATGCCTGTGGTTAGAATCCTGTCATCGCTTTGATTTCTGTTCCACTTTCAATCGTCATTCCCTATCAATAACACTATTCAATCCCACAAACCACGGCTATCATATAGTTGCATCAATAATAAGTTGAAAATACTGTGTCAAGTTATTTTTTAAAATATAGCGATTTATTTTTACTTCAAAGCCATAGAAAAGAATTTAGAACATGATTTTTATCAATGAATGATAAGTTTTTATATTAGATGGAGAATTTTTACCCTTCAGTATGAATGAGTTTCCACACTCTCTTCTACCTATTAGTGGAGTTGAAAGATCTGCGGCCCATATATCCATTTATTCATAACAAGCTCCTAACACACTAAATATGATTCAATGTGTATTTTACAAATTGACACCGAGGAGACAAGTTACATTCAATTTTCAATAGAATATGTGGGATGGCATACGGATTCATAGGCTAACAGTTGGACTGATCAGGTGTGGTTTAAACAAAACATAATTTCACAATTCTACTTCAGGATTGTTCAAATAGATATCCGATAACTTGATATCCGTTTGCTTCATATTCTACTCCTTCTACATTTATACTACTCAACAAATAAGCATTGGATCAGTAAATATAAATGACCAAAAAAATGTTTTTCACTTTCCTTTTTAAAGTTATTATTTTGTTTAAATAACTATTTGAAGGTCATTTACAATGATCACAATATGAACAGGAAGTATCAAAATAAAACAAAGAAACTAATCATAAGATATATGAAACCAAAAAAGTGCAAGTCTATGCACGATACAATTTACTTGTCAGGAAGATCTAATTGTCATTTCAGATCAATTATGATCAATCAATACATATTTAGTGTAGAAATCTGTTGCCAAATCAGTAAAAAGAAGTAATTTACCAAGTGCGGAAAAAAAACAAACAAGAAATTCATACAAGAAGTCTCTTTTTTTCTAGTTAGTAGAGTTATAGATTGTTTTCACTATATCTGTAAAGAAACATTTATCTGTGACAGGCAAACTAAACACATTATACGTCATGCATACTGCAGAAGAATCTGATACTAGAACGAAACAGCTGTCCAGTGCTCCCAGGTTTTCAATGGTTCCCTAACTGATGTCAATTCGTAAGGTATACTACATCATACGTTTATCATTTTACAGAATGGATAAAAAATTCCCCCCTAAACAATCAATCTTAAACATATAGAAGAGTGAAATGTTCACTAGATAATAAAAATAATAATAGTAATGCAAATAAACAATCAAGTACAGTGGAAATATAGGAATAAAACTTGTGCATTGTAGTAGATTTTAATTCCATTTTAGTATGTTTATTAGAAATGTCACACAATGAAACAGTATCATGATAAGATATGAACAGTGACAATAAATCATATCCGAAAAGTTATCCAGTAAAACTCATCAACAAACTGACACACCTACACACACAGAAGGTAGATACACAAACCACCGTTATATTCCATATTCTATGTCTTAGAAATTAAATCACTCCTAAATATCTATGTCTATGTGCACCAATTCCAACAGACAAAGTCGAAGCACTTATAGAACGAGTAGGTAAATTCTGTCTTAAGGAAGAAATGCATAGAATAGTCAAAAAGTTACACAACATCAGGAATTATATCGAAGAACTTAAATATTAACAGTTAGGAAAAAAGACTATGAGCTTTAGATAGACAGTTAACAATTAACAATACCATATCACCAATGATGTGTCCTAAGCTCAGCAGAAATAAAGGTGTTAGAAAAAAGTCCTAACTTCAATGTAGAGTTTAATGAATTGAAACCAAACGATGTCATCCCCAAAATAGAAATAGTGTTAAATTCAATCGATAAGACAATTGCAGATGCAGTAAGAGCACAGTGTGTTCTAACACTAAAACAACAGAAGAAAATGAAATCTAATTTACCCAAGTCAGAGGGAGAAGCTTTCAGAAACCTCTAAAATGATGACAATATAGTAATTGCCAAATCGGATAAAAGTAACTCAGTAGTTGTAATGAACAAATCTGACGACACCTGTGAAGTGAATGAGGAAATCAAGAAACCAGTGGATACTATTATGAATAAGGTTAAGAAATCCATAGGGGATCTGATACGCCCAATGAAGTCGTCTCTAGGTGAGTCAAAATGGTTTAATTTAACCCCAGAAACTAATAATCCCAGTAGAATGAATGGTACTATTTAGATTAATAATAAGCCAGGTTATATCATCAGCCCTATAGTAGATTTCAGAAACACACCAACTTACAAGTTGTCTAAATATTTAGCAATAGTGATAGGCCCAACAAGAAATAACTCAAAATCTCGACTTACTAACTGTTAAAACTTAAGGCACAGATTAGACGACATACACTTATATGACAGTGAGAAAATGGTTAGTTTTGACATAACTAGCCTGTACAGGAATATATATATATATATATATGTATACCGATTGATGTGGCTCTAGAGGCAGTTAGAAATGGGGACAAGGATGACAATGAGCTTACGCATCGAACTAAGGTGCCGATCATGGAAATCATGCTAGGAGTACAGTTGTGCCTGACATCTACAGTTCTGAAGTTTCAAAATAAGATATATAAACATACTGAAGGGGTTGTCATGCGATTACCAACATTCCCTATCGTCACAGACATATTTATGGATAGTCGGGAAAGGATGGGTCTTCAAACACTTAGTCCTAATCCAAATATATGTTTCCAATATGTAGATGATACGTTAACAGTACTGAAATCGGAACACATCAATGGGTTATTGGCACTTATAAATTCAGTAGTGAATGCAATCCAATTTACCTGTGACTTAGAAAGTGATGAAGATGAGCTAGTAATGTTGGATTGCGAGATCAAACGAACACATAAAGGAAATGTAGAGACTAGTGTCTATAGGAAGCCTTCCCATTTCAATCGCTATTTACACTTCAAATCATACCATCCCATCCCATCCCATCCCATCTCCCTTAAAGTGGGCTTTCTTAAATGCCTAAGTGATATGCTGAAACAGATTACTAGTAAGACAGAAAATCTACAACAAGAAATTAAACACATCAAGAATACCTTGCGTCTAAATAACTAACCAACTAAATTTATAAATAAATTCATAAGAAATGGGGAGAAAAATATTAACAGTAGTACTAGTAGCAGCAGCAGCAGTAACACAGGCGTCATTAATAACATTTCTTCCAATAAGAGTAATAATAGTAACACGGTTGAGAGAGAATTCAATGCCTTTCCTGTGTTATCATACAAGGAAGTCACCTCAGAAGCATTATGAAGAATTCTCCATAAGACTGACTGGGATTCAAATGGCATTTAAACCAACAAATTCCCTCACAAACAAGCTTTGTAAGTTAAAAGATTCCATCAATGCAGTTAAGCAAAATAATTTAGTTTACCAAATCCATCTCGATGACCAACAGGTCAAATACATAGGTTGAAGTAGTCGACTAGCCAGGGTCGATTACAATAACACAATACAAATGCAGCTCAGCTAAATCAACATTAGTAGATCCTAAGAGAATAATAAATTTACAAAAAAGCTCCGCGATAGCTCTGCATGCAATTATACACAATCACACAGTAGGCTGGAATAGGATAGACCGACAGTATCAAAAACTAACTTAGTTGAGTTCAGGGAGAGATTGATAACCAAATCTCTGTTTATCGAATCAACAGTGAATACATGCAGAAGTAGAAATGATTCTGCACCTATCCCTTGTCATCATAAAGAAGGAGAGAAAATTAGGACTATATAAACTCTGTCGGTTGAAAACATTATCTAGCTGCTTAAGTCTATTCCGTAAGTGAAGCAGAGCTCAAGCTAACAACTTAACAAATGGACGATGTATGCATAAAGTGAAGATCGACACATCCACTTTGAAATTAAAAATGAAAGTATCCATTATCTTGATGTGACAATTAGTCTTATAGTGAACTTTAAAATCAATAAGAGAATAGCGAGACGTCAAATTATCATTATTTTTCCCTTGGGTTCCTAGCGGAATATAGAGCTTCAGTACCACGCCTCCATTGCACTCTGTTCTCTGCAGTCTTTTCAACCTAGCTACACGACTGCCCACAAGTTTTCATTTCCTCCTCATATCATCTCCTCTATGTCAACCTCGCCTCTGACGCCCAACTCGTCGTTTCTCCTCTGCATTCCACTCGACGACCAGGCCTGGTGCCTGATGTCCCCAATTGGCCTTCTCAGTGTATGCCCAATCCATTTCCACTTTCTTCTTCTGCATATTTGTTGGGTGATAGGTCCTTGACTGGTTCGTTGCCAGAATTCCTTGTTGCTTATTCTTCTTATTCTGACCATCTGATCTGATCTTCAGCCCCGTTTCCGCTGCTTCTTCTGCCAAGTTGTTAGTTTTCGCCTGCAGATCTTCAAGTTTGTGCGATATTAGACATTAAAAATAAATCATCATCGGCGAAATCCAAATCTAGAGTCTTTTCATAGGTCCAGCTAGCGCATGCCCCTCTTCTCGCTCCTCACGGTTCGCTGCATGACCCAGTCCAGTCGACCACAATCAAAGGCATCACTGAGCTTTCCATTGTGGATCACTTGGCATGTGGCGTCTTCATATAGTTGTTGGTTGAGGTTGATAAATGTTTGTGACACTGAAACCGTAGTGTTGAAGCAACTGCCTGCCAAATTATTTCTCGGTCGACGCTGTCGAAGGCCTTTCCAAAGTCGACGAAGTTGAGGAAGAGTTGAGTTGACTGCCATTCTATACTCTGTTCTATGATGATGCGTAGCGTTGTAGCTTGATCCGCACATGATTCGTTCTTCCTGAATCCAGCCTGTTCCGGTCGTAATTTTGAATCCAACGCATCCTTCAGTCTCTTTAGGACGATACGGCATAATATTTTGCTTGCTTAGAGTGGATAGCAGCATGATTCCGTGCCAGTTCTTGCAAAGGCTTAGGTCTACCTTCTTTGGGATTTTGATAAGGTAGCCCTTTTTCCTTCCTTCCAGACATTCTGCAGTAGTGGTGTGAGCATGTCCGCTGCTGATGTCTCTGATTCTGTTTTCAGTGTTTGTGGAGGAATTCCATCTGGTCCTTCTGCTTTCCCGAATTTAAGCAGTTTTATGGCATTCAGGACCCCTGCTTTCGTCAGAGGGCTTGTTTTCACTGGTAGTTCTGCCGTTGCCGGTGGTATTTCCGGACGAGTTGCAGGTGGTGGTCGACTTTATACAGTAACTATTTAAGGTAGTATGTTTTCTTTATCTCAACAACCAACAACTACGCAGTGAGCCAAACTTGCTATGAGACGGAAGTTACTACCTGGTAGGTGGAGCAGGGATCAAAGCTGCAACTCTTGGTTGAAAGTCATCTGTATAGACCAACTAACTACAGCTTCACGAGGTAGTAAGGTATTTACTAATATCCAAAAATGTGTGACGATTGAAGTTACTCAGTGTTATAGCAACACCAAAAGAGAAGATTGAACAGATGAATAAAGCATTCAAAAGGGTTAAAAAGATAGTAGAACATGCATCAACTATCTAAAAAAAGCCTTAACCATCAAACTAATCTGCATCACTAATCTTATGTGATTCATTTAAGACTTTCGGGCATCAAATTATACTATCTAATGGACAATAAAAAGAAAGCTTATTATTGTCCAACGAACTAAGAACCAACCTAACCTCCTCACAAACCTCACAGATGAACAAAAACAATTTACTGTTTATTAGGGATTCACTTTCAGATGGATATTCCAAAGTTTAAATAAAAAGTGTTAGTGTCCGATCAATAGTTCTTACCATGACGTAGGGGTCAGGTTTACCTAAAAAGATTCAACGAGTTATGTCGGTGAGTACATTTGTTTCTTGATGATCTGCCATACCAGAAACGTCTGTAAGAAGAAAACCAAATAACGTTACGATGCAAACAGCGACGCTGTGATAGGGTCTGAAGGCAAAATGGTACTATTGGCAAGGTGGAGGGTGGAAGCAAGAAGGTATTCCTACAAGTAACCAGAATTCAGTGCTGATGCTGCTATCCTGGTAGGAAGAGGTTGTTAGAAAAGGCTGACGTCCAAAACAGAACAACCGTTCCTGCCCTGCGATCAATCAGTGCCAGCAATATGGGTTTCCTAACTGGATTCAAAACTAAGTTGGATTTCAAAAAGCCGTGTTTGACTGGTCTCAACCAGATGCACCTTGAGTGCTGGGGCTACGCAAAACTAATCCATTCTCTTTCAGGTACTTTGCAAAAACAGCTTCTTAGGTGTTGATGACTGGGAATCGTCAGTCGCCTTTACAACTATGGCAGCACTCAAGTCCCCTTGATCAATATCAGTCTGTCGCATTTTTATCTTTTAGTCTTTTTTCACACCCCTCAGTCAACATTCCTACGTTAATTTCCAATTTTGTCCAGCATTTCAGCCATCAATAACGCTTCAAGTTAGCAGGACAGCATCCCTGATCTCCTGAAACTGCACTCCAAATTATATAACAAAGCTTCTTAAGTCTCTACTCCCCCTCAAATCGGAATGTCTTAGTTAGTCAAAACTCTCGTAACTCGGTCAAGGATGTATGCTGCGTTCGATAAACATGCATACAGGACCCAAGTGAGGTTATTGACGTGACCTTGCCTAGTCAATGTGATAAATCCTCAAGATGCACTCTTTGGGTTTCTAGAGATTAATTCGCTAGTTATTATGATATTCTACATGTACCTATAGCACTAAGTTCAAAATTGGAGATTGCACTCCTCTATTAGATTCAATCCGACAGTATGCAGTGACCTGGTTCGAATGAATGGTGCAATGAGAAGTAAAGAGTGAAAACTGCCATTGTCTTTATGCATTCTCTGCTTACTCAACAAATGACTACAGTCAGGATGAAGTGAAAGACTAGTTTTATCGAAAACTGTCTAGTCTTTTATTCGAAGCTAAACGTTGAGATGTCTTTATCGTAGGTGACTTAAATGCATAAGATGGTAAGTTAAGTCGGGCAAGAAGCCACTTCCTGAATTCCAGCCGAACGAAGAGATAACGATAGTAGTCTGCTAAAACTGTGCTCAGATAACCATATATTACCGGCAAGCACGAAATTCATACATAAAGAAGGGTATTGTCTGACACGGTATTCACCGACCTCAACTCAACTGTGGACATAAATAGACAGTATCGCTATCAGCTGTAGCTGGAAAGAGTTGGTGGAAGATTCCCACTCCCTAAGGAGTATATGTTCAAGAAGTGACTATACGTTGTTTCGAGCACGAGTATGTCTGCGCACAAAAACTACAGCAACAAGACCATTTCGAGCGTAGCTCGATAATAATACTAAGGTTAATTTCAATAAGGAATTGGTTAGACAGTTATCAGAACACGACAATGTCAGTCATCCTGAAGAAACCTAACGGCGTCTTCAGTGTACAGTAAGAACAGCCCCTAAGAAAAGGTTAGATGCGACCAGGGTAAAACATGTCATCAGTTCATGAAGTCATTGACTGTCAGTGTGAGCCGTGTAGAGAAGTGCAAACTTCACGACTGGGGTCCATGAGACAACTGAAATCAGTGATTTTTCTTCTGATATGACTTAGAATCGATCTCAGTGGTACAGATGCATCTGCACATTCTCTTTTTCTTAGACATCAGGTCGCATTTGGTCATTGTTTTATCCCTTCTTACCCTAGTCTCATGACCTTCTACCACTTTTAATTAGTTTTCTACCTTTTCTTCTATTCTTTATCTTGATGACTTCTACCTTGATGTGTCGATGCCACGTTTGGGGACTTGGACAGTTACAAAGCAATGTCACAACCGATACTTATGCAGATTGACAGGTAGGCCGTAACCCATGGGGTCGACTAAATCTGGTATGATAAGGAATTTTCACGAATAGGATTGGATGGTGGCTGCGTTGCATAGTTAGTAGTCAAAAGTTGCCATAGTATTAATCCAAAACTTGAGTAGTGGGAAACTACTCACGCTGATCTCTAGATTTCGTCAGCCAGATGGGAGTGGTTTAAAAACCAGAAGAGCATCTTACTCGTCTGAAACCCAACTTATCACCTGTGTTCATGGACACATTCAGTTGACGTCAAATTGTCCGGGCACACAAAAGGTGAGCCTACAACAGTCAACCTAAACAGATAAAACAGAAGGTTTTTAGGTGTCATGGTCTAAAGTGGTTGCAGGTCCTGGATCACAAGTGCTTTCGCAGCATTGCTCATGTTCGGTAGAATCACCATGTGAGCGATGTTGAGGTCAGGCAAAGGGTACCAGGCAAGCCGATTGATGACATTTCATCTTCATCCACTGAGGTGGCCTGGAAACGTATTGTACATGCCAAGCCACCATCTACATCGACGTGCCACGTTAGGGGAAGCTGGGATGGGTTGCAAGAGGGTTCAGAGTAGCCAGACATAGACATGGCAGAAGTCCATGTAGTCGCTGACTGTTGGTATGAGCCGTGCTGAGATGTACACTCTCTGTTTGGGGTCTCCAAGATGACAGGAACCAGTAGTTGAGGACTCTTGATGGCTGAAAATCTGTCGCAATGGGGCAAATATATTCGCTCTTTGATGTCTTCTCAATCTTGAATATTCGCACTAAACTTTATCTTCAAATTGTTTACTCTCTCACTCAACTTTGTCGATCTACTTGTTGTTTTTATACTACTGTGAAGTGTGGCAACTTGAACAGATGGAGTTGTGTGCGAGGTTTTCCGTTTATTTTGTCGGTTTCTCTGTCTGTCGTGGTCTATATTCTCATCCCTAAGAAACACAAAATTAGATATCACCACTAGACCATCACAATGATGAGTATCGCCATACAAAAACAAGGAAATACAAGAAAAAATACAACAGAAACAATAAAAACTCCACTAACCGATAGTCAGTGACACATAAACAATAATGACCACTCTCAAACTTAGATAAACAGTCAAATTATGAATACGATCAAATAACAGTATCCCAAGAAAATGTGATACAAAAAAGGTTATTTTCCAAAGCGACCTATAGGCAACATCTACAACAAAACTCACCGAAGTTGACTATTTTTCGAAACATCAAAACCAGGCGTGTGACATTCATCCTTACCACCAGCACGTACAACACGACTAGCAGCTGCAAATAATCCATGATTTGGTTTACAAGTGAAATACCTATTTATACGAATTAAAACACTTACAGATAGTTAAAAGTAAAACCTGATTTCATTTGTGTTGATCCTACTAAATGTGAAAACTAATTGATGCACAAGAAAAATTACACCGGAAACAAATACACATAGATAAAGCAAGATCAACCATAAACTACACCATAACAATATGAAGTGTAGTAGCCGATGATAACGATGAATAAATCTGAAAACGTCACTAACCTAGTTGCACTCAACTGTATACATAACATACTACTTGAGGTGATATAATACTAGAAAGATTGGTTCAAGAGTTCCAAGATTTAAAAACGACCAACTTAGCAGTCTTATGATTTGTGCAGTAACACCTTTATTCACGGTTGTAACATTATTGATGATTACAGTGGATTGCAGCAGTAGTTACATGCTTTTACTAGGAGGCCAGCAATTCCAAAAATTTTAAGAGCTCGTTTTGAAACCTGTACAGTTTTCCTTCATATAAGCTTTTACTAAGTCCTTTGTTCAGACGACATTTTGCAGCTGACTGATACCGATGGTGCTCCTTGGCAACGACAAAAGACGAACTTATGGATTTAAGACGTCACATGCTTGTAGCGCTGAAGACACCTGTCAATGCTCATCAGTTTTTCAATTGGTTAAACAAACATGGTCAAGGACTGGGATTTAAGAAAAGTAACACTGAAAAAGGATGAATAAATTATTCGGTTTCAAAAAGGATAACTAGGGATGTTGAATAAATACTTAGATAAACATTTTAGACGAATTTGTTTAAATACCAGTTGCTCAAATTGTTGGGTCAATGAAAGGTAGCGAATTATAATACCATTTGTGGCACTGGAGCTAAATGATGCACAAGAACTTCCCGTATGACAAACGTTTTTATGTAATAAGCACCAGTTAGATAGAAGACCAGTATCAATTAGAAAAACGCTGAAGTTATTTTAGTCACAGTGCAAAGGCATACACTTCCTAGAATCTCACGACCAACAATCTCTTCAGTCTTAGGCAAACACATAAGCAACTACGCACATAATTAGTGCTGTTATGTCGTCAAAAATGTAACGCGTGAATCTCAGATAAGTATTACCGGTGGTATTACTTTATTTCTTTAAAACTTATTTTACTTTTGACTTTTTTGCCAACATTATTATATAGGTCGGCACAAGAGCTTTTGATTGACTTCTTATCTATTTAGGTATGAATTATAGTTTTGAAGTACATATGGAGTAAAATCAATTGCTGTGTAATCTCATTTTTTGTATATGAAATTTATTTCACTTTAATGACCAATGGTGTGTTGTGGAAAGGAAATTCAGTTGCACGAACGTATGATTCACACTGCTCAAAATACACAGACAATAAGTGCAACAATTTGTATTCTTCTGTACGAGATTGTGAAGACCGAATTGTGTAACTCTGAGTGAATTCAGAATACGAGAAGTGGCAAGTATAAGGGAGACTAATCAAGTGTAAGGTCAGTTTTAATGGCAAATTGGCAGAATCACATGCTTTAGATAAATATTACTAGGCAGATACATAGCCAGTGCATTGATCAAATCTATACCCCCTTACTGGTTCTGAAATAAAAAACACTAGTACGATCTTATTGTGTCTGTAACTCGTACATGATACAGAAACCATATGATAACGTTCAAGTAAGAGATCTATTAAGATGAACCCAACCGAGCTGGTACCCTCAAACTAGTCAGATTTTGTCTGGGCTTATTATGAAGGGTGGTTTACATTCATTATTCCTGTTTTTCTTCCTGAAAGTAATGACAACTGAGATATCTTAGTAGTTAGCTCTTGTTGTGCTAAACTTGTCTTCTCAAGAAAGGAAATACAGAATACTTATTCTGCGTGGTCTGAAAATCCAGTATTCCTTTTGTACTCTGAATGTGTAATGCACTACTCTAGCAGCAATTAGTTTCTGTATTCTTTCTCGTTTCTGAGATTCTAAGCATTTCATAAATCTTTATTTATTTAATCTGTCGTCTTTCACATTTACTTCGCTCGTATTAGTACCATTTTATTTCTGTTTAATTTCTGATTCCATAGTCTCTTCAACAACGGGAGATCGACAGAGTGGCACAGAGCTACACACAAAGGCTTACAGGTCTAAATGTAGTAACTCAGAAGAGTGCTATCACGTGTGAAGTTTTAACTCGGTGTCTGAGAGTTACTATTGACTCGAAATTCACTCAGCAACCTTCTGTACACCCATTGTGTGAGGGCTAATGACACTACCTGGGTGCCCAAACCTCAGCAGGTCAAACACAGTTGCGACCTGAGACTCATCGGTTGGAAATCAAGTGTCTGGACCAATGACCCAGAACTCTTAACTTCACACATAGAATATCGAAGTATTCCCTGCTGAGACAGAAAAGAATGATGCCAGTGCTCGTAACTTCCTGTCCTTGATTGAACCCAATTAATCGGCCACTGTTGGCATATGTGCTCGTCCGCAGATGGTATTATCCATCATTAATAGAAAAGACTTGGTATGGTTATAAAATAAAGAGGGCTTCTGTGAGATTCTTGTACCTTGAAACATCAGAAAATTGCTGCTAATAGTCAAATAAAATGGAAACCAGTGGATATCAAGTAATCCATGAACACAACTTCACGAGTTAACACCGCCAGGTAATAATAATAATAATAATAATAATAAAGTATTTTGATGGGCATACATCAGCAAGAAATATACATCATTGGATATTACACATGTTTATGATCTACAACAAAGCATTTACCGACAGCGAAATAAATGATACTCAAGCAGATAAAATTTGTATCAACCAATATATAGACAATCATAATAAACTGCATACCGTATGCCCGCAACAGAACCATCATTTTTCCCTATAGGCTCATCTAACTCAATACCAGCCCATTCACCAACAGCAAATTCTGTTGGTCCAAGATACCGCAGAATACCGATACGACCCCCAGATACCTGTACATGATCGCCAGTTTGAAGGGCACGTTGCGCGGATGTAACAGGAGAATTTACTGCTGAATATTTGGATGAGTAGACACTACCGAAATCAACAACACTGTTCTGTTTGCAATGTTCACCTGATATTACATCACCAAGAACCATTGACCCAACCTAGAAAGTGGGGAGTAACAAATAAGATGTGCAAAAATGTTGCGCTGATACAGTTATTATATATATATATATATATATATATATATATATATATATATATATATATATATATATATATATATATGGTTGACAAGCTGATATTGTCCTGATAGGCGAACACGGCAACGAAATGTTGAGTTTTCTGGAGAAATTGAGCAGGAATTTAAGTATTTTTGGTACGCCTTTCGTTAAAAGTTGTCAAATGTTAGGTGATGCTTCAGGACTGGTCTACAACCATTTCCAGTTTACTGGTAGTAAGTGAAGTAGTGCAGTTACATCAGCCCGGACGGGTTAGTTGCTAACAAAATCTCAGCTGGGATACAGAAAGCACATTCGGCATTTGCCAACTTGCATTATGTGTTGCCAACTGGCGGGATATCCAACAATCTGTCAAAGGACGAGTATACTGAGTTGCAATCGCTTCCCTTTTGTAATACGGTCAGTTATCTGATCATAGGTCGCAACTTGAGTGTGACGTTCTACGTTGTCTTTGTCACTCTGACGATAAGGCAGTTTATTTGGAAATAATAGATAAATTCGAATCTAATCTAAGCACTATTACCTTTAAACAGGAATTTGAATAATAATACAACTAATTAAATTCTAGTAAGCCTTCAGTAGTTGAAGTAATCATCACCTTCCAATTCTAAAAGTTGAAGCTCAAGTTGTTTTCCGCCACCCACGACTCCAGGAGCAGAAAATCACTTTAAAATTGACTAAAAATGTTTCATCCACCTACAGCTTTTTCTTTTGGTGACACAATTATAACAGCCAGAATTTTTATCCTTTATGAATAGCGAGGGTAGAAGTGGCCAGGTTGCTGTCAGACATACCATAGGTTTGGAGTGCCCAAAATCAGGAAAATCAGAGGACTTCGTACTCACTAAGTAGAAATCACTGAAACCTTAGCGACCTCAAGCCCATTATCTGTCGTTTATTAAGTATTAATTGGATGACACTAAAACATAGGAGTAAAGCTTGGACACTGGTAGATTGTAATCCCATTTGTCTGTTTATTAGGAATATCACACAGTGAAACAGTATTACTTATTGAAGTTGTTTCAATATGAGCCAATATATGAAAACCAATCTGACCTTGCTGATTATCAAGAAGGTCAGGTTTACTGATGGCCGATACGAATGAGTTAGTCATTGTATTTATTCTCAAGAGCAAATATAACTATATATTTCTCCACATCATACTGTCTCTTTTAACCTTTAAATCAACCAGTATTTAGTTACTAACACCAGCTACAGTAACAGCATTTCTACCAAGCTATTAAGTGGATAGTATAGGTAACCTAGTCTTGAAACTGTGCAGGGTAGGATGAAGAGTGTAATTCCTCCCAACGAAGTATCATACAACATCAACTCCTTTGCTAATAACTTAGCGCACTTCCATGGTTAAGGTTGTTAAGTTCTACCTGTGGTGTCCAAAAAGATTGTCAAGTGATCTAATGCTAAGTATGTGGCGCAGAGCCATAAAGTGGAATGAAAGGAGGACAAAACGACAGTGTGCCATCATTTTAATAACTCCTGATTTAGAAAATTGTAAGACACCACGAAAATTCTTGTAAGCCACAAAAGTGATCTAGTGGCCTTAGTTACGAGAAAAAACTATACACAAAATGTGACGTACATTTCCGTGAGACTCTGATAAATCAGCGTTCCCTGCAAGTCGAACGTTAGCACGCTTCGAGAATATTCCATGTGACGGTTTGCAGCTAAAGTAAACAACACCGTCAACTTTACCATCATTTTTCCCCAGTGGAGAAAACAAACTGATACCAATCCACTCCCCAGCAGAGAACTGAGTCTCTCCAATGAACTCGATTTTCCCTATTCTCTGAGTCCCGGAACCCACGTACACAACATCGCCAACCTTTAGGTTGATTTGTTCTAAACTTAAAGGCTGCTGATCGCACTGGCTCATTGTACATACAATATTAGCTCAATGATAAGAACGGATCATCTGCATGAACGAGTAACCTTGAGCTTAAAACGTCCCTTAAGGTCACTATGTAATGCCCTTGAACAAAAACAACAAACCGAACTGTTTCCTGAAGTTCAACTTACTAGGAAGTACTCAAAATGAAACTAATGCAGCCATTCTTTTGAAACTGACTGTAGCTACTTCACTATTCAATATCTCATAAGTGATTCCAGTGATCGCTTACGAACGACCCAACGTAACAAGACAACTTCACCCTTTGCCATCAGCTTGACCAGCTCGTTAACACTAGGAAAGTTATCATCACTTTCAAATTTCACCGAAGTAAGGATTTTGAGGAAATGTACAACGATTCAGTAGACTATTGGATGCGAATATCATGTAGGTTGTGCGCACTGCGAATAGTGACGCCAATTGTTCCTCTCCACATTCGGAAACCTTTACGGAGAATATTTCATTTATCAAGAGAAGACTTGAACAAGAATCACCAGATTGTAATGGAAAATTTAGCAGCATTACTTCCCTCGACCCACTAATCTGCCTCCTGCTGTCAGTACTTGGTTGTCCAAACTGTCCAAGTACCTAAGCCTTCGGTTCTCTTCGGGCTTTATTCCTCGAGGAGTAACTTCCCCGGTTCCCCATGCACACTTTCGCCGAGTGCGCGGTGCCAAGTGAAAAGTGTATGTACGCAAGCTAACTTAAAACTGTTTTCCTCTCTTCGTTCTGTCTTTCCAATATATTCAAATTCTTTCATTTCCCTACCACCTTTTGCCCAGATCTCATTTAACACTGTTATGCCTGCCTTAAAAAGCAGATCTGAGGCAGCGATAAAGATAACTCACTCTCATACTAAGATGGCGAGTATCCGTCGTGATGACCCGCGACTGTAATCACAACCAAAAGGAGGTAGAGCACGTCACTATAACCCTCTAACAGAGAGGAAATGGCGCGGCAGGCACGGGAATATACATATGGTTTATCGTCGGTCTCAGTGACGTCATGACACCCAGTGACTGAATTATCTGAGTTGAATCTGTACCAACCGTTGAGACTCCTGCATGCAAATTGCTTCAGTGATGGGCACATTACCACTGTGGCAGCAAGGCGCCCGACAATGCCACAACTTTATCAAAAGACAACCGCACGAATAGTTTCAGCGCGTCTGCGTACAATGTAAAGCTGCCGGCACTCTAAACAAGTAACCTTACGCAGCAGAGTCAAAAGAGAAAACGATGGGGGCCAAAGTAAGGTCAGGCCTCTGGTTTCGCACAAACCTGTGGATACGGACACCACCTTGTATCTGCCCTTCGTGTCCGCAACTCGGACGCAGGGTACCACAAATCAACGGAAAACGACGGTGATTGCAGGGTCTATGACGCAGCACAATCAGAGTGCCCTGAACATAACGACCAGGAAATGACATGAGAAGGTGCATACCAAATATACTAGAAAATTAGGTGTATCACCTGTGATAAATACAAGTAACATAGTAGCCTGCTTTATTATCTTGTTCTGCACCGATATGTTGTGAGACTCACCGCCGGCCAGGAAGAAACAGTATGATTGCCAAGCACGTGTTAACTACTGTTGAGCATAAGGACTATGTTGTCCTCGTGAGACTGTCACTCTTCTCGAGGTAGCGGAGCACCCTGAGACAAGCCACTATCTTTACTTCATCGAATGATGGCATCGGCTAGCAAAGTTGATCTGGACGATCTACCCGTGATCGGCTTCGACAAACTATACGGATAAACTTATCTAAGGTTCATCCTCCCTCCTGGACTACTGGTCACTTAGTCCACCTCACACACTTGACTTACAGATACCCTACTGGCATGGTGCGAAATAAAAACCACATGGGTGGTGTAATAAGGCCGTGTGAGAGTAAACAAGGCCCCGCCAAGTAAGATGACGGGCAGTAACCGGCAAAACCCCAAGAGCCAGCGGTTGTCGCATGGGCACGTTCTGATGAACCCAGAACATCAGGTGATGAAACCTGTATTGCTGCGGTTCCCCCACTGACTGAAAGTGGAACTCCAAAATATGTAGGAATCCCAGCTGTGCAAAGGCTGGCGTTCCAAGACTAGAATCCAATGACTTTAAAGCTTTCTCGGAAGAAATATGTGGTCAGGACTTTCTCATTTCTTGCACAAAATGACGTGCATGTGCACCAATTTATTGGGGCTAAGAGGAAAAATAGGAGAAAGGAAGACTCTGCTCCAACAGTTGAGCGCTGACATCATATTTGTAGCAGAGTTCTGGCCCTGGCCAAACTTTTCCGACGGAGAGATGCATGTCACAAGCATGGAACTCATCCACGCGGAAGAATGCTTCAGAGGGTGTGGTGGAGTAGCTCTCTAAACAGGATCCTGGTTAGGTGTAAGAGTTGTGAGCAATACGGCCCTCACCCAACTCTCAGGCTACTCATGATATTACTTCACTGACCATAACATCAAATAACCGATACGGGTCACATGTAGGTCCCTCGCTGTCACCCTTGAAATACGGGGAAATGGTCATCTAGCAGGTCTTGTTAACAACCTCTACAGACTAGGATTCCGTAACCATCATCTGTGAATTCAACGCTCTTTCCCCCTTCTTTAAGATGGAAGGGAGACACACTACCAGCTCCCTCAGTCACGGGCTAAAATGTGTACTTAAGACTTAGACTCTTGGTGAAGGTGGGGGTGTCACGCGTCAGGAGCCTAAAGGCGATCCATCACGCCTCAGCCGCTTTTGGGCGAACGGTGGCCCTCTGATTGTCTCCGGTTACCTTTTGGCCGAAGTCATCTTGTATCAGTAACCTTGTCTGCGGTAGCTACGGAAGCTCTGCAAAAGAAGATAATAGGCGCTTTCCGTTGCTGCAGCAAAGACAGCCGGACTTCAGGAAAGCACCGCTATATGAAGAGTGAAACCGTCCGACGACAGATGGACACTTGACACAGGGAAAGGAAATAAACCGAACGTCAGGGAGAGCCTGATAGCTGGAGTGTGGAGCAAAAAGCCTATTCCAAACTGAAAAGCAGGCCAGTTTCGAGCGGTTCTCACCACTCAGAAAGTCACACTTCTTCACCTCACAGGGATTCGCAACCAATGCAACATAAAAGCCAACGGCAACAGGTTTAGCTTTCAAGCCAACCTGGTTAATGAGTTACAGGGTCACAGAAAGAACCTGTGCATCTTCATACCATCCAAACTCCGCCTAGAAACGTTCCCTGACTGCAACTACCTGAGACCCGTAGTCTTAAGGACTAACTGTGTCGTACTCGTTAGGGTCAAGCAGACTGCGAGAAGAGCAGAGTGGCATCATCTAACCACTCCTCTGCAAGGGAGGAGAAGAGGAAATCCCTGGCCGCTACTGACCATTTTGCCTACTCCCTACACTGTCCAAAGTATCAGAAAGCCTGATAACAGATGAAGTCTGGGAAGTCCTTAACGAGAAAACACCGTTAACAGTGCTTAATATGGCTTTCACAATCGTCGTTTGCGGGCCACCAACTTTCTGATTGCTTCGGGTGATTGGGCGCTTGACTGGAGCAGCAGAAAGCCAGTCCAGCTCACTTCGTAACCCAGCAGAAGCATTTGACGGCGTCCCACAGAAAATCCTACTCCACAAGATCGCATTGGCGGACACAAGAAAAAATCTGATTTCTTGAACTTCAGTCCACCTAGAAGACAGACAGTACTACGTAAGAGTGCACAAAATATGATCCATGTGGAAGCCATCAAAATCATGGGCATTTTAAGGGGCAATCACGGGGCTGCCTCCTTTTCAACCGTCAACCAACGATCCACCAAGCAAAATTTCTTTGCGCATCCTGCTTTTACTGATGATATTTAAATGCGGAGGGCGGTAAACGTAGAGGCCAGACGTGGGGTACTCCAAAATGAATATCTCTAAATAGAACTGTGGTCGTGAGAGACTGATTTCAGCTTCGACAGTGAAAAAATGTAGTGCGCTGCACGTCAGGGCCCACGAGGCAGAGGGGCTGAATTCGAGTTTCAGTCAGACAGCCATGGCATCATCAGTGTCCGCGGGGAGGCCCGTGGCCCAACCTCTCTTACCCTCTAAACATAAGGCTTAACACGAAGGAAGTTCAACAATAGCAAGTACAGGCTTACACTGGTGGCATAGGCGCCTAGGTCCTCTCACTGCTGGATTATTAGTAACATTATTCGCGTCTAATATGCGGTCTCATATAGAAGCCTTCAACATGACAGCAACCCTGATACTCAAAACGGACCACAGTCTCCGCGAGAAAGTTAAAAAAGGTCAATGACGAGGTCAGTCATTGGAGAAAGAGGGACAATGTAATCCGACAGACTTGGGTGCCGAAAACCATTCACCTTAGGCTGTCGTAGGGGGAGGAATGAGCCTATTATGGCCTACAAGGCTATCCATCCGGCAGTTCACGTAGAAAAGCTGATCTTACCTGAGAAGTGATGCCCACTGATGGGCAGTTTCATCAGAATTCGCACATCCGAGATCCAAAACCAAGCCCAGGTCATCTTACGAGGTAATTACTTCCTCACTAATTTGTCCCGGACCCGCAATGGGCATCCCAAGAAAGCACGTGCTGCGAGCTCATTACCTGTCTTTCGCTCCGAGCTTAATAAGTTCATCTTAGATGATGAACCTATCACTCTCTTGGTGCATCCTAGGCCGATGAAAATGTACTAAAGCCTCTAAACGTATAAAGTGGGGATATCTCCACTCTGAAATGCCTTTGGCTCCGATGGACTCACGAATTTTCACCATGGTAGTTCGATTACCAGTTCAGCTGCTTGCACTGTGCAGTTAGGAAAGTACAATTTGGAAAAGTACACTCTCGGTTACTGTGTAGTCAGCTTTCCCTTTATGCATTAAATTTACGCAGGGAAGACAGAATAAATTTAAGTGGACAGATTAAGATGTAGGCATGACCCGGGTGAGTCTAGAAAGATGGGAACTTCTTGTTTCCAAGTTTGTCCTGTATGGTACACCATTCTCCCGTTTCTTCTCGTGCCCTCTTCTTTCTTCTCTCTTAAGCATAAACTCTACGGGAAAATCGTATGCATAGTTCTAGCCAAAA